AGGCAGGGGCAGAGAGAGGAAATGGTGTTTTCCCTGTGTGACACCCAGTGAGGCTGTTGCTGTAGTGACGATATCCTCAAGGTCTAGCAGGGCAGCAAAGTGGTGGCATTCCAACCCTAGTTCTTTTGCCCTAAAAGACTATTTAGATTGACTCATTCATCATGTTTAGTTTATTTCATAACATCAAATACAGTAAGGTTGGTTAAGATCCTTAGAGCTTGTATTGCCTGCCCCCTTCCCTCTACCCACTTTCTTTTTTAATAAAATAAGCACAGGATAAAAATTCAAAAGTTCTGGAAGTGGAGAAATGTCCACAATAAAACAGAAAGTATATCAAAAAGGAGGAGACAGAAAAGAAACATTACATTATCTGTGTGAAAATGGGGACAAAAGCATATATGCTAATAAACAGGAGAAGTAGAATATTGACAAGCTGACAGGTGGGTAATGAGGCACCTTTAATAATGTTCTGTTATTTGCTCTAAGATTTTGCTTTATTTGCTGCTCAGTCATCAATGATGACACCAGGTTTTTTACTGCTTTCCAGTCATTTAGACAGTACATGTTTTTCTTGGCTATTTGGAACTTTCTCACCTCTGTTCAGTTTATTGATGCTGCACCAATGATCTCTAAGTCAAGAGATTATTCCCATTCTACTCTTATTGGTACTGACTGTGTCACTTCAGAATCTCTTTTACATGGTGCACACAGAGTCCCTGAAATCATTATCTAATTACTTTCTCTGAACTACATTGTTTCAGCTTCCATTGAGCTGCATTTGCTAAAAATATTCCTGAGTCAAATCCAGGGGTTGCACACAAGCAGACCTGGCCTACCTGGGACAGGTAGGGGAGCAAGCAGTAACCTTTGTAAACATGCTTTATATCCTCCCTGGACCTACCTGTCCCATCAGTACAGCACTTTGTCATTAACCTTTAAGCTCCTGCCAGGTTAGAACAGAGTACAAATAAAGATCTCACTTTGCAGCCCTTTTTTTCTCAGCAGAGTCAGTGTTAAACCCAGCTCTGCATTTGAATTGCCCAGTGCAGGTCTTGAATGAGACACTGATATTGATGGGTCCTGAGTGGCAAATTTCTGCCCCTTTCCCTCCTCTGAGAGGAGGAGACCACTGGCAGCAGGTGTGCTGGAGAGCCATTTTAGTCCTGGTGGAGAAGCCTCAGCAGTGACTCCAATCCTTCTCATATTACTACTGGGATAATCATTGTAGCTGTAACCAGCTGGTCCTCTCTGGAAAAAACGTGTCTGTACACATTTCAGATTTGGATATTTTGGATATATTTTCCTTGTCTCAAGCCTTTGGCTGATATCCATTGTATGTGCTTTTCTTAACGCCACTGACTCTTAGACTGGATCAGCTGTTACGTCAATGTTAATAATAGCTAATCTTCAAAAATACGAAAGAGCAGGGAAATTGTGTCAGAGGAACCCAAATAACCTAATCAGAGCAAATTGGGCACTCAACTGACTTAGGATGGGATGTTTAGGGGAGGAACCAAAGTGGGAAAAGAAGGGATCATAGTTGTTTGGAGGAGGAACAAATATGGGAGAATAGATGAACAAAGCAATAAAAGCAGATGACCATGTGTTAACAGGCTGTTGTGAGTACCATTATCTGGCCACGTCTTGTCCCTGACCCACGCTGCTTGTCCTGTCTTCTTCTCAATCTCCATTCCTAACATCTATTCTGTGTGCATGTGCCTATGTGTGTGGGGAGACCACAGAATGAAAACCTTGTGTCACAGGGTCCCAGGTGTTGTAGTGGAGAAGCTGTAGTGGAGAGAGAAGCTGGTACTTAGGGGGCTGTGGGTCAGAGTGACTTGAGAGCTGGGGCAGCTGCACATATGTTTTGTGGGTGTATTTCAGCAAATGTGATCACTGGTCAGGCCGCACTAGTGGTGAGTGGGAGATTAGAGGCTGTGTGAATTGACTACTGGAGGAAGCAAGGAGTCCAAGACAGACCAGAGACAGACCTGTTTGTGCAGGTGGATGATAATCCAGAGGCTGGCTGTTGACAGATTGAGTATCTATGGCCAGTTCCTGGAGGGATAATGTATCTACATATGTGTTCTGTGCTAAATTGCTTTCATCCTGAACAGTGAGAGAGGGGAGCAGGACCAGGATATTGGCACGGCTTGTGTTTGCCTAAGTACTGCATAGATCTTCAATACTACATTGAAGATACTGCATTTGAGTGAAAAAACAGATGTGTGGTTGGCTATTGGTATGTGTATAAATGCATTGTATATATGTATGCCTCACAACTGGACGGATGTGGGGATGTGGTGTTTCAGCAGCTTTGTCTCTGTCAGGCTACCAGAGTCAGCAACCTCCAACATAAACCAGAGCCACATATTTTCAAATAGAATTCTATATGTTCATAAACAGCATTATGACTTTTGTCTTGGAAGTGGTTTTCTTGGTGAAGATTTGACTTTAATATCTTTACAGCAAATAACATAGGGACAGTTTCTCCTCTGGGCATGCCTTCCCTTCATATTCACACACGAGATGTGATAAGCCCTGAATCCGTAAGCCGTGGTCCTCCTGAGAAAACATTAAAACTTTTATATCTCCTTCTGGGAGTTGCAGGCATGGGTACTACTGAATGATGAGGTAGTTGATTTTTTGCTATATATTTGCTGATTAGCATCAGGGTTCCAGACACCCCAATAGTATCAGAGTTAAAGAAGAATAAGTGTGGAAATTCTGCTCCATAATTAATGAACTGATATGATACCTTGTCGCTCCGATTGGGAACGGCTAGAAAGAACGACACGGGACTCTCAAGGGAGTCACAACACGAGAATTCTCTGGTTTATTACTTCAGGCCTGTTTTATAGACTGGTACGTGGAAGGTACAGAAAAGAAACTCCTATTGGTTAACAAAGTGCTACATCACCATCATTGGTCAGGGGGGCCCATCACCCCCCCTGGCCTTCTCCTGCTAGAGAAAGCAAGACTGCAAAACAACACCTGCAAGGCTGTTTAGTATCTCTGAGAATTGTTTTAATTCCTTCTCATATTTTTCCCAGGCTATTTTCTCAGGCAGCCCGAGGAGCCAGGCGGCCTGTAATTTGTACAGGCACTGTGGTTTAGATTTAGCATCCGTAACTCACCCTTTTTGTTAAAAAAAAATAAATAAAAGAGCAGTGTTTGTCACGTCCTGCTGGGCCCTTGCAGGAGGAAGAACAAACACAGCACAAGAGGGTTCTTTGCTAGAACTTTGAATGGATGCTAATCTAGAATTAATCTAGAATTTTGGCTTATGTTTTGGTATTTAAGAATTGTTTTCTTTGCAGGGATTGATGGTTGACTCCAATGTCTCTAATTCAGTAAACCAACACACACTCTCACACAACAAGTAACATTGTTAATTTGTTCAAACTGACAGTTTAACTTGTCGACAGGTAAGAATATTCAGTCTCTGCTTGTAGAAGGACCATCGAAATGATGATTGGTATCTTGGTCACCATCTGATGGTCGCCTGTTGACTGCTTTCTGCTTTTGATGCTGCAGATCAGGGCGAACACACCTTGCAGGTATCCACCGTACTCCAGTGTCCGTGGAAACGCATGCATACCCACGACCCCAAGCAATGAGCTCGCACGGGCCTTGCCACTTGTTGGTGGTCAGGTCTCTCACCCAAACTTTCGCTCAAGGCAGGTGCACCTCGCATGAAGACTGCAATGAAAGAAAATGATTCAAGATGACAGGGTTATCTGAATTCTTTTTCACTGTGAGGTGATTAATTGTGTACAAGGCTTTCTCCAGTCGGCTGTGTGGAGTTTCTCCAACCATCCCCGTTTTTTGTCTTTCTAGAACACGTTTTAAGGTACCATGAGCACGTTCAACAATAGCCTGCCCAGTGGGAGAATGTGGAATACCAAATGCATGTGAAACTCCCCATAACTGTAAAAACCGTTGTGTCTTTTGTGAGGTGTAGGCAGGACCATTGTCAGTTTTCACAGAAGAAGGTATGCCCAAGACTGCAAACGCGATTTTCCAGTGGGCAATAACATCACGACCCTTTTCCCCGGTGTGAGCAGATGCCCACATAGCAGATGAAAAGGTGTCTACAGACACATGCACATACTTAAGTCTGCCAAACTCAGCAATGTGAGTAACATCTGTCTGCCAAAGCTGCAGGGCTTTCAACCCTCTGGGGTTCACCCCCGCTGGCAAAGGTGCTGCGAGCCCATGACAGTCAGCACAAGAACTGACAATGTCACGCGCCTCGGTCGGTGTTAAGTAAAACTGTTTTTGCAAAGTATGTGCACTTTGGTGGAAAAAGTCATGCGATGCTTTGGCTTGTGCAATTTTGTCAGGCTGAGGCGCTACCCAAGCAGGGTTAGCCAACCTATCAGCCCTGGCATTACCTTCTGCTATGAAACCTGGTAGATTGGTATGACTCCGAATATGCAGAATGTAATATGGGTGAACTCGAGCTTGGATCACACACCACAAAGACTTCAGCAGCTGAAATAGACGTTCATTATCAACTTCTTTCAGGAGCACACAATCTAAACGTTTAGCGAGATCTGCTACATAAGCAGAATCAGTGACTAAATTCAGCGGTACCTGAGAAAACCGCTGGAATGCCATGGTAGCGGCCCTTAGTTCGACTAGCTGGGCTGAGCCTGTCTCATGGCCTTCCAGCACTTGCCACTCAGACTCATCCTTCCATGTAACAATGGCTTTCCCCATTTTTCCCGAACCGTCAGTGAAGACGGTGGGTCCTTGCACTGGCACCCGACTACTGTTTTGCTGAAAGGACAATTCAGCTGACCCTGCTAATTGCAGCAATTTGTGGCTGGGCAGATGATAGGCAATCTGCCCTGAAAAGTTTTCCAGCGCACTCTGTAAAGAGGCACTGTTGGTCAGACTCCATTCAAATTCCTCCCGCCGGATCGGGATGATAATTTTCTCAGGGTCAGCTGCCATT